CCTCCCTCCCCCCATCTCAGTTATTGGCTTAACCCCATCAGTATTGGGAGCACATCGTTGAACCCAAGACATTTTCCTGTTACTGACCATTTGAAGAACAGGACAGTATAATTGCTCTGTCAGAACCTCACTAGAAAATATGAATCAGTGGTTTATGTTTTGTGTTGGTGCCATGACGTGCACCATTGTTACAGGTAGTTCATTAAATTGGACATCTCTTACTATTAATAAAGAGAAATCTCAGGACTTCTCTGGTGGTGCACTGTTTAGGACTCCGAACTCCCAATGCAGGGGGCCCGGGTTTGATCCCTGGTCGGGGAACTATATCCCGCACGCATGTCGCAACTAAGAGTTCGCATGCCACAACTAAGGAGCCCGCCTGCCACAACTAAATACCCAGTGCAACCAAATAAATAAATACTAAAAAAAAAAAAGTAGGTTTAAATAAAAAATAAAAAGAAATCTCATGAGAAGGACCCAGCCATACCTAGAAAATGAATATGATAGAACAACTTAGTGAGACTGAGAGCAAATTAAATAGTTGAATTGTTAGAATGTTGCATTTTGGATCAAAATGTTAATTGATCATCCTGATAGAATGTCTGTGACTTTCATAGGTTTTATAGGGCAGGGCCTGGGCAGTGGCCACTCATTCTGGACCTTTTACTTAATATTAATACCACTCTACATGTCATCCCAACAGTTGTCTTTTCTATCTAGAGAGCAGATTATTCATGTTGGTGGGGAAGAGTGATGCTGTGAGCTGCAGTTGTGAACTGAACTTTTTTCATATATCTGAGTTACTTTTAATACTGCTTTAGGGGATTTGATCTGTTCTGTACTGAGAATTTAGCCAGCACCTTAAAGACCCGCTGTCCTTATGCTTTACCTTACTCTTTGTTTGTTTTCCTAGGTTACCAAAGTGACCCAGGTAGATGGAAACAGCCCTGTAAGGTTTTCCACAGAGACCACTTTCCTAGTGGATAAGTATGAAATTCTGTAATACCAAGAAGAGGGAACCGAAAAGGAAAATTTTCAAATTAATAAAGAAGAAGCCAACAGTGGCTGAAGAATTTTTTCCAAACTTGCAAGCCATTGGAGACCCTTTTTTTCAAATACAGTGCACGATTCTCTGAGCGCAAGGACCCTCAACTCACCCTCAGTGTTTCAGTGTCACAGAGACATTCTCTGGCAACGAAATGACACAAACATAAAGGGAAAGGCTGCTGATTTCTTTGGCAGATTTTATTGGCCAGCAGGAAAGCAAGCTCTCCAGAGAATGCCCCCAGTTAAACACTTTGTCTCCCATCAGCTAAGTTGTTTTTTATTTTAATGCCTAAATATATTTCATACTTTGTTTTTAAAAAGTTTTCTCTGCAGAAGGTTTTAATCTTTCATACTCCTTTCCTTTACCTTCAGTTTTTTTCTTTCTATATATCCAATCCAGCACTGAGAACATCTGCATATAGGCACTGTATTTGGCACTCCAGGAACAGGTTGATCTAATCCATTCTTGATTTCTGGACTATGCAGGTGAACTGCTTGAGGGGTAGGGGGTCTAGAAGTTAAAAGATAAGGATGTCTTATCCTTTTCCTATATCTATTCATCCCTCCATTCCTTTGCCTGGCTGTTTTCCTTGCAGTCTTGTTGCTCTGGTTTTAGAACACTAGTGTGAATCCCACTTGTGTCAATATTAAAGACAGCTGAGAAGCAGCTTTCAAATGGTATAGCCCCCACTTCAAGGTGTCTGGGAGGAGAATGGTCATGTCCAGTTAGGGATTTCACACCCACAGGTAATCATGTCTGCTGCTGGTGCTACCCAGCCTTCCATTCTCCATATTTTGGGTACTTCAGCTAAAATATGATAGCTAATGGTCTTTGTAATCCATTCACATTCCTGAGATTCACCACCTCCCTCTTTCTGAATGTTCTCTGTGTCATCAGTTTTTTCCTTTCTATCAGACATGAGGTTATGATTTTGGAGGCTGTAGGTTCAGTGAGTCTTTGTGCCAATCCCATTGGTCCTGAACTATCAAGGAGCCTCCATTTTCACCACCAAGTTTTTAGCATTTCAAGATTCAGCTGATTATATTGCTGTGTAGGCATTGATATACTCCATTCTAGCCTGCCCAGCATTTTTTCAGCAGCCTTTCTGTTCCTGCATCTGAAATCCTTCCTTTTTCTCCCCTAAGCCTTTTCTGTTTAGTGTCATCATGTAATGGTTGTTTCTCAGCCCCTTCTCATCCATTACTTCTTCAGTGGAGAAGACTACATCAGCCAGCCCAGCGTTGGCTTTTAACCCAGTATTGCACAGGGGTTGGTGGAGTTGCTGCCAGGCTGCAGCCACAGACACGGGGAAGAGAGAGATGACAGTAGATGACTTCCTGCACTTTCAGCTGGTTGGAGAGTACGACTCCCACTCTGAACAACATCTGACCTTCCCTGCAAAGAGTGTACTGTAATTGAAGCAGAGCAGTCACACACAAATGGCCGTGGATGGAATTGTTTGCCAAAGAAATTTCTGGCCTTTCCCTTTCCCTTAACTGCATCAGGGAAGAATCCTTATCTCTAGCTTGGTTTCCACATAAGGTTTTTTTGAGGAAGGGGACTGGAACAAAAAATCTGTCATGTAGTTAAGTAGACAAGAAATCTTATTAATTCAGTTTTGTTTGAGAGTTGCTTGTCCATATGATTTTTTTAAAGTGAAGTTTAGTTTCACAAAAACTTTTTTTTCTAAAATTACTTTTGGGGTAATATTTAAAATGAGAGAAGTTTTGTAACCCTGTAAAATACATAGGGAATATAACATTCCATTGTACACAAAGAAGGCAAATTCTTTAATCAAATAAAAAGTATTATAAAATGAATGTTTTTTAGACTTGGCTCTCATACTTTGGTGTCTTCTCTGGTGTCTTCAGAATGCTGTAACAGGATCTAAGATTAAAAATTAATGATGTGTTTCTTTAAGAGGAAATAATCTCTGAGAGTATTCATTGCCTTTTCTCCCTATTACAGGTATTGTGTCTTCTTGTGTATTTTTCTACATTTGAGCATATACACATACACATGCACTCCTGACAGTGTAGCTTTTGAATTTGATGCCACTTATGGGCTTTTGATCTTAATTTTGTCAGAGCCAGTTGTAGAGTCAGAAAAATGAGGCTTCATCTTTAAAGAATAACCATAGTTGGTGATACCTTGGAGCATTCTCTTCCCCATTAGACAAACAGTGGTAAGAAGTAAGTGATGCAGGCATGAGTGATGAAGGCCTTCCTTGGAAGTTGATAACTCCCTCAGAAAAGGCTTCTTCCTTACTTACTTTTTATTTAACTTGAAAAACTATTGAATGTCACCAAATTGTTAGGAAGGCAAATCTCTGATGAATAGTAAGTTTTTGGAATGAATAAGTTTTTATTTTAATGGTGAAAGCCAAGATTTTGAGAAATTGCAAGTATCTTTAATGTTGCCGAAGTGTGGCTTGGATCTCTGAGGCTGTAACGTTAATCCAGTGAAATGAAGCACACCAAAACCACGCCACACCCTCTGACTGGCAGCTGATCCTTCCACAGCATCAAGGGGAGTTTTTGTTGGCCTCTTGTGAGGGAAACTAACAAAATAATTAGATCTGACTGGGCATTCTGTTTAATGTAGGAGGTCTGTGGTTCCTGCTCTGGGTTAATTAATTCCACACAGAGGAGGTAGGGAGGTAGGTGAGTTCCTTTTAAAAAAAAGGCCTGTCATTCATCTACTCACAGTATCAAACCCCAAATCTATCAACCCATGCATCTCTACAGGAAACTTTGCCCTCCAATTAATTTAACATTGTTCACACTGGGTAGGCTCTCAGAGATTTCCAGGGTTGATAGAGAATAGCTTTTCTTAAAAGTTTATGGGACTTCCCTGGCGGTCCAGTTGTTAAGACTGCGCTTACACTGCAGGGAGTGCACGTTTGATCCCTGGTCAGGGAACTAAGATCCCGCATGCTGCGAGGCGGGGCCAAAAAAAAAAGTTTACATCTGCAGGGCTCATTGGAGGAGGAGAGGAGGAAAATAGGAGGAGTCCGCGTCCTCAGGAAGATTGAAGTCGAACTGGAAGCAACGGCTGTACCTCCTTAAAAAGCTTTCTTGCTAAGGTAGGTCGGCGTCAACTGCAACTAGTGATACTCAACATGGGTCTCAATAAGGGTGAGGAATAGAGCTTTGGTCTGGTAGGTTTTAGAGGAATCGCTCAAAAGGAAGCAGAAACTCAGAATTGACTCCCCTGTACTATGCACATCTCTCACTGCAACCATCCTCTCCATTCCCTCTCTTTGCCCCATTTGGTAAATATATTTGCAGCTGTAGAGCTTCTTTGAAACTCCTAGAAGATCCACAAGTAGGTTGGTTGCTGTGTATTGCTCCTGACCCAAGAGCAGACAGCATCTCTACAAGAGTCAGTTTCACATCTCACCCTGGGGAGTTAGTGACTGAGGCAGAGGCAGGCGTTTAGGAAGTTTAGACTACTTTTCCAAACTGATCTGTTGCCCCCTCTCAAACACAAGAGTCAAGCAACCAGGTAGTTTTCAGAAGCTTGGGCCACTTCCCTACCTCTACCCTCAGTGGTCAAAAAGGAAAGTTTTTTGCCTTGCTGTTCATAGGGCAGGGGTTATGTGGTTATTTAAGGCTTAGTCCAATTCTGAGAAGTTTCCATAGATGTAAATCTGAGATCAGATTAACGGGCTTTTTGAAAAAGAGGTGTTACCAATTCAAAGCAGTGAGAGAAATGGAAATAGGTCTTGTTTCCCATTCTTTTGCCCGAATGAATGCTTGTTCTTTTCAGCTCATAGGAAGGTCCTGAGCCACGGAGGGTAAATAAGACCAGTCTTCTGTCCTACCCAAATTTCCCACTCAGCTTGGACGTATCTTAGCTGTGAGTGGAAGTGTGAATTGTGCAGTTTCAAAGACAAGCTGAGAAGAGAGCTTCTGCTCTTTTGCAGCTAGTGAAGAAAGGTTTGAACTTTTTCTCCAAGTTGGATGCAGTGAGGAGTTACTTGGCATCATTGCTGCCACCACACCTACACTAATGATGCCTGAGTTCAGGATCCAAAGAGGCCAGAAAGGTTAGCTTCCTGGGATAGGGTGTGCATCTACAGGGATTGCTTGCTGTAATGAGCAATAATCACCTCTTTCTGGGGCTGGAGGGTGTACAATTTGAGAGGACGGACAAAGCTGGGAAATGTGCTGTGGCAAAGGCAGGCTGGGTGTGGAAGTCCACTCCTGACATTCATAGCCAAGTGCAGAGGGCCTTAAAAAATCCACTCTTCCTTCCACACCCAGCCTTTGCCCTCTCCCCCTGCTTCCACTTCGGAAAGTCTGAAGCATGCTTGGAAAGCTGTTTTCTGCTTTCTTCTCTCTTCCTCCCCCTTTCTGAGCTCCCAGCTGCTCAACCTCTTGCGTAACTGTGAGAGAGCACTGAGTTTTTTGATGGGCTCCAGATGTGGAGCGGGGTGGGGATGGTAGGTCTGAAGTCCCCTGAGTGCTCTAACTGTGGGAACATAGGGCCCCGACACAGCAGGAGCGAGGACACATTGCACAGAACCTTTATCATGGGGTCAGCTGACTGCTGGGCTGGGAGGACAGAGAGCAGTTGGGTGATGTTTCAACCCCCTGCCTCAGCATCAGCCGCCTCCGTGGCAGCCTTGATGATTCCCTGAAATTCCTCCTGACCAAGACGGTAAGGAAGAGCTGGAATTGTGAAACAGAGTTATGTGAAAAGTCTTTGCAGTACCCCATTCTGAGCCTCTTCCCTCAAACTCTGGGTCTTGGCACATAAGATACAACAAGTTTGGGGTTTGTTTCGTTTTCTTTCTTTTCTTTTTTAAACAGAATAGCCTGAAAATTACTGTTGTGATCTGCCTCATAAAAAGGTGGTCAGAGTTAAAATACTTTTATGAGCCTTAAACAGTATGAAGAAAGAAAGAATAAGAGGCTTCCACCCCCAACACCGCTCCTCCACCCCAGGCCAAATCCTGGGGCTTCCTGGTGCCCACAGCACATGCTGAAGCCTGATAGTTTGACCTCTATTAGCTGTAGCAGGTAGTTGCAGAGAGCGTCCCACCCCCTCCCGCTTCTAGTCTGGTCAGCTCCAGCCTCCAGCCGTGGGGGTTCTCCCTGCTAATGCTGGCCCTGTCAATGAGTGACCAAAGATTCCTACAGTTCAACCTTCTGCTGTTCCTGGGTTAGGCAGGGAGGGTACACACTGAAGTCACTGAATCAGAGCAAGATTTGTCCATCCCAAAGAGGACAAATTATTTTCTGCTATCCTTCCCTCACTGGAATTTATGTCAGCCTTGGGGGATTTCTCCTTCCTCTCCTTCAGGGAGGAAGAGTCTCAGGGTTCCCTCCAGTGCTGGTTAAAGAGGTCCAGTCTAGCTGCATTCAGCTCCCTAGGGCCTCCCCTGTCAGTCTCCTGGGGCGAGAGCTGGCTTTGCAAGGTAAGGATCCTCTGTCAGCTTGGATTTCGGGTGGGGAAAATGACTTTCAACCAGGCTCAGTTTCTAGGCTTCCCTTAGGTTTTCGGTGCCCCCCTCTTCTTCCTTATTAACCCCTCGCTCGCTCCTACAGAGACCCAGACTGCTGTAGGATGGTGTGCTCAACAGTAAATCTACAGCTTGTCTCCCAATTGTAATCCTGCAGGTTGTGGTGGGGGTGGAGCTACACGGGGTAAGACGATAATTCCATTCAGCTTTCCTGTGCTTTACAGTTTGCATGGCACTTTACCATGCCTCCTTATACCTATCCTTAGAAAAATCTGTGACATCCTATATGCAGAGTTATCCACCCCATTTACAGGTCGTCATGGTGGAGGGGCTTGGAGTAGGATGAGGAGAAGGGGCAACAGAGAGTAGACCTGGATACCCTCAGCAGATATTTGGAGGTGATGAGAATATGTTGTACGGCTGCGACCATGAAGTTCATTGGGAGCTCATGGAGGATTCAGGCATCTAAAGTGAGGGGGAAAAAAAAGGTGTTGGGGGGGGGGTTGTTTAGAGAAAAACTGTCAAAAACACCCTCTCAGAAGAGCCTTAAAGCCTAGGGGTGGAGAGTGGTCTAGGAGAGTCCGAAGGGGAGGGTGAGTGGGGATAGGGGTGTGTACGTGGTGGTGGTAGTGGAGAGCCCAGCTGCAGAGAGATGAACAAAGCGGGCGCTGTGCAGGCCGGGGGTGGGGGGGGAGGTGCTGCTATGGGAAAGGGTGGGTGGGGGGATCTTGGGCTCCGGTCCCACAAGGGCGTCTCCTCTGGCTGGCCAGGCGGACGGGACGGGGGACGGGGGCGGGGACTAGAGGGGGTGGGGTGGGGTAGGGAGGCGGGACCCGCTCGCTCTCCTCCTACTCAGCGGGCTCCCAGGGAAAAGCAAGAGTGTCCTTCTGAGCCTGGGGCCGCGGCGGCCGAGCCAGGCGAAGGAACCAGTGTTCCCCTCTCACCCCGAGGTAAGAACGCTCTCCCCCACTACGCCTGCGGGTCCTGCTCGCTGCGCGGCTGGGACTGGATAAGAGGAAGTCCCAGGGACCTGGAGAGAGCCCTCAGATCAGCTCTTGGCTGGAAGAGCCCGGAAGAAACCGGTAGGGGAGGAGGGGGGCCACAGGTGAGTGCGTGGGGGCGCGAGAGGCTTTGTGCGGAGAGGGCTCCGCTGCTTTCCCGAGAGCTGCTTGCTCCTGCTCTCCTGAGCCGCCGCCCGCGCCGCCGCCAGAGGGGGCCCTTGCGCTCTCCCCCCCGGGGGGAACGCGGATCCTTGTCCCAAGACCCTCCTTCGGGCACCCAGACGTCTGGGCGACACTCGTGGGGTCTCGTCCGCCTGCTCCCCACACCTCCCTTCTCTCGCCGACAGAAGGACTGAGAGCCCTGCACCAGGAGCGGAGGTGTACCCCGGGGCATCTCAGCTCCAGTCCCGGGCCGGGCCGCCTTGGCGGACAGGAAAGGGCTGCGGAGTCCGGCTTGGAAGCAGTGGTGTCCGGGAGGGACTCTTGCGTGTGTTCAGGAGATGGGTGTCACATCTGAGGCTTCCCCGGCCCTCTCCAAGGCCCCGCGTCTTTAGGGGTCTGGGAGGCCAGAGCTGGGAAGCTGGGGGCAGTGAGGCTCCGCTCTTGCCACGCCCGCACGGTCCAGATTCGAATCCCTTGCGGAGTTCCCTGGTGCCGGGGCTGAGCCAGGTCCTCCGGGCTCCTCCGGGATACGGAAGCGCGGGCGCCTGGGGGCGGCGGAGGGCTGGGGCAGCTGGGTGGCCGAGGCGCCCGCGGACGCTTCCGCCGAGGCGGGCAAGAGGGGAGCCTGGGCCGGGAGACCGAGCGGTCCAACGGGGGACCCAGGGCGCCGGGGCGGGGCTGCATACTGGGCCCGTTAGCTCAGCCGTCCCGGAGGCTGACTCATCGAACCGGTCACACACAAGGCCAACCTCCCCACCACGTCAGGCATCCCACGCGCAGACACACTCGGCGCCCCACCCGGCATCACCCACGCACCCTTCCCACCGCACACGCCACGCGGATAGCTGCGTCTCTCTCCGCCGTGACACGTGTGGGACCCAGCGCACACCTAGGACTCCACACACCCGCCAAGCACCCGCGGCCCTCCCAGGAAACCCACATTCACACCTGCGGCCCCTAGCGCTCACGCCCTTCCCCGGGCCCACGCACCCCGACACACGCGGCCCCGCCGTTCACACACACCCATCACGCACTCAGTCCTCACACAGGCCGACTGTTACACACGCACCCCCCCCACACACACAAATGTTGCACACACGGCCCCCCTCCCGCCGCCGCCCTCGGGGAGCCGGCGGTGTCTGGGGGCCGCCCCTTTCCCCCGCCGGGCAAACAAGCGGCCCCTTCTCCCCGCCCGGCCAAAGAAAGGCTGCTTGTCCGGCTTCAGCGGCGGGCGGGGCGGCCCGGCAAGCGGCCCAACACTGCGGCCTTGTCCCACCTGGCGGTCCTGGGGAGGGCGGCGAGGGGCAGCAGGGAGCCCTCCGTGCGGAAACCCAACTCAGTCCCCCGGCCTCGGAGAGCTGCCCTTTTCCGGCACCCCACCTCCACCCCGCACACAAGTAAAATCACACCCCCGAACTACACTCTCGCCTTGTCCCGCCGCCTCCTCCAACCCCGGCTGCCCGCCTACGGTCTCTCCCCACTCCTGGGTCCCCCGGCCTGCCCTCCGGCCCCCTCTTTTACTCCAGGGCCCCGCCTCCACCACCACCCCGGTCTCCCCCTCCACGGCCCTGGGTACCTTCGACTGCTCCCCCGGTCCGTCACCCCCTTTCCTTGAGGACTCCTCTGTCCCCAGTCTCCCCCATCTCCTTCGTCCCCCAGTCCCTCTACCTTTCCGTCCCTGTCTCCCCCCCACCTCTGCGTCCCCTGGACTCTATCCGGTTTCCCACCTCCTTCCCCTCCTCCCCATCCTCTGCCCTCAGTCTTCCCTCCCCAGCCCGCCTTCTCCCTCATCCCTCAGTCTCCCTCTTTCTTATTTCCCTCCAAATCCCTTCGTCTTCCCACCCGCCCCGTCCCTCCGCAGACCCCTCGTTTTCCTTCTCCCGAAGTTCCCTCCGTCCCTGGCTTTCCCCCACGCCCTCCCCGGCCCTCGCCCGGCTCCTGAGCCCCGCCCGCTGGGCTCCCAGCCTCAGTTTCCTTCCCTTCCCGGCTCCTTCCTGCGCCGGCGGCCCTTCCTCGAGGGCGGATGTGCGCCGGGCGGGCGAAGGCGGTGGCGGCGGGTCGAGAGGATCTCAACTCTGCCCCGGAGGCCTCGGGCCACAGCCATGCGACGCCCGGGGCGAGGCCTGGGCTGGCCGCCGGGGCCACAGGTGAGGCCAGAGCGGAAGCACCCTTGCGGGGGCCCCGCCGGGACCGCTTTCGCTCCGGGGCCGGCCTCGGACCTTTCTTCTGGTGCCTAATTTGGAGTCTGGACTTTCTCCAGTGCCTGTCGGTTCCAGACCTTTCCGGCCGCTCCCTGGGCCCCCACCGCCCTGGCTAAGGTGCCGAGACCCCCGAAGCGGTGACTCTGGGCGCCCCACGAGGCGCAGAGAGCTGGGGACCGGGTAGGGCTGCTGATCCCTCGTGGACTGGATGCCCGGGCGTTCACGCTGGGCCGAGAGGCCGGAGGGGCCGGAGCGGGGTCACCTGCCGGAGCCCCGGCGTCGCCCCACAAGGGGCCCTCCAGACACCCAGGCCTCTGCCACCCTGAGCCCGAGGAGGAGCTTGGGCATCTCTGCTCGCGGTGCAGGAGGGCTACTGAGAGCCGAGGCTGACCGCGGCGCTTCCCCCAGTCCCTCCTCCCCGAGAGCTGGACTCGCACCGCAGGGGCCTTTTTTTGGCAGCGGGCGGGGCGGGGTTTCCCAGAGCGGCCGCGGAGGCCGGGCTGGGCGAGCTGGGTGGGTAATTACAGACCCGGGTAGTGGGCAGCCCGGTGGGACGGGAGCAGGTCGGCCGGTGGGAGGCGCCCCGGAGCAGCCCGCTTGGCACTCCCGGCCGGGGGTGGGGTGGGAGGAGCGGGCGCCCCCTCCCCGACCCGTCCCCCACGCCCCCCACCCCGTGGCTGCTCTCCCGGCCGCTAAGCAGCCCCTGGGTCAGAGCGCCGCCCGCGTGCTGGGACGCGCTGGTCTGGTGTACCTTTCCACTTCACCTGGATTAGGTTTCGGAGCTGGGGCCACAGCCCCGCGCCTCCCAATCTCTACATCTTTTCTTATCTTCTCTCTCTCTCCCTACACCTCTCTCCTTATCTCTCCTTCTTTCACCTCCTTACTCCCTTCTCTCCTCCCCTCCAATCACTCTTGTTCCCCATCAACCTCATTCCTTTACAATCTTTATCTGCACTTGAAATCCTTGGTGTAAATAAAAGAGCACACCCACTGCTACCTCACAGAGTGATAATGACAACTTGACAGATGAAGAAACTGAAGCCCAGATAGGTGAAGTGACTTGTTCAGGATCATGAAGCTCATACTGATAACTGGCATGTTTATAGTGCTTTGCACATCACAGAGTGTCATTTCATATAATACCTGAATCTCCAGACAATCATCTTTAAAAAAAAAAAACAAAACCTAATAGTTTTATTGAGGTATGATGTTCATACCATAAAATTCACTTAATTTCAATGTACATTCAGTGATTTTTAGTATATTTACAGATCTGTGCAACCGTCATCACAAGTAAGTTTTAGAACATTTCTATCACGCCCCCCCCTCAAATCTGCCCATTTATAGTCACTCCCCGTTCCACCCCTAGCCCCAGGCAAGCAGTAATCCAAACCATCTTTCTTTTTTCTTTAAATCATTATTCCAGTTTTATAGAGAATGATCTGACACTCAGAGAAGTTAAGTAACTTGTCCAAGATCTCTCAGCTAATAAATAATAAAGTCAGGATTAAAATTTAAGCCTCTAAAAAATAAAATAAAAAATAAAATAAAATAAGTTTAAGGCTCTTGTAGCTCTTTCCACTAAGTGATGATGCCTTTCCTTTACCATTATTTATCGTTTTGTTTTTCTTAACCCCTCTTTTATATGAACTCTCCATCCCCAACCCACTCTCTTGCTTCTCCTCCCTCAGAGAATGCTGAGGGATTTCCCTGAGTACAGCAGTCTCTGTCCCTGGAAATTCTTCCCCTTGGCCAGATCTCCTGGGGAGATGCCAGGCCAGCTTGAGCTTTGGTGTAGGTTAATGGCCTTTGCCTTCCCTCTTCCCAGGCAGACTTGGGGCGGGCCCCAGGCCCTGTTCCAGCCTCTTTTCCGCCAGCTTGGGTGGAAATGGTGACGGAGACGATGCAGTCCAGGTCCGGAAGGGTGGAAGCTGGGAGGGTAAAATTAGTAACTATGGCTAAGGCCTTTGGGCCCCACTGCCAGGGTCAGACACTACTTGGAATGCTGGCTCCTCCCCCCACTTCTTCTCCAAGTCCCTTGGAAGATGGCTGGAAGAGAAAGAGGAGGGGCACCCTGCCTTCCTACGTCTCCCTCCCTACCTTCAGCTACACTCTTTTCAACTTCCCCAGAAACATTGTTCAGCAGCAGATGAACCTTAGCAAGTTGGCCAAGGATGGGCATGTAGGTACATATTAGTACACAAAGGTCCTTCCTCAGAGTTTGCAGGTACCAAAACTGTGAGCCAGGGAGAAAGCGATGAGTGAGGAACAGTTCAAGTTCTGGCTCTGGAATCTATCAGTATTTTACCTCTGGTTCTAAGGACCTCAGCTTCCTACAGCACCAAATCAGGTGAAGATCCCCAGAGTCCTATATTCCCAGTGCTAGTCACCATGGAGGGTTTCTATTTTTTTGCTGACTGTTTGGGGGTAAGATTGCTTTCTGGGGAAGAGAGGGTGCGGGAATTGAGACAAAGAGATGGCAGGAATAGTTGGGTTTTTCCCGTTTGTCTCCTTTAAGAAAACATCCTTCTGAGACCCCCGGGAAAAGAGACAAGGGGAGGAGAAGGAGAGGGAAAGGCTGTGGGAGCTCCTGCTCAGCCCTGCCATCCACCTGGGGCCCCCTGTCTACCAGTGTCCCTGGAGGGGCTTCCTTGGACTTGCTTCTCTCGCTAAGGTAGACTTCCCCCACCCTGCTTACGGCCCCAGCTGTGTGAGGGTCCTCAGCTGCCAAGGCCTGAGTCCTGGGTGTCAGAGGCAAGAAAGTACAGCAGTACAGGTTGGGCCCTGTAGGACTTTTTGGGCTTCCTGTGTGTGGCAAGGGCCAGGACCGGTGTGGTGTGGTATCCACGCCACAGCTGAAGATGCACGCGGACACGGGCCTGCCCCTTCCCCGAGAACCTTGCTACAGAGCCTACTCCTTGCCCTTTTCTACCCTGGCCTCCCCACCTCACCTGTTTTCTGCTGTGTCCGCAGGAGCTCTGGAGCCCCAGGACAATGGACACTATCAGTAGGAACCAAGTGGGCCCTGGGTGCAAGACCCCAGCTGTGGTGCAGGTGAGTGTGGTTGGGGGCGGGGCAAGCGGGCTGTTGGTGAGGATGTGCTGACTCCACTACCTACCTGTGGTCCCAGCCCAAGGATGACAGCGGTACCACCTCTGCTCTTCCCCAGGTCCCAAGCCTATTAACAGCTAAGTCTTTAGCTGAATCAGGTTAATTGGTTCACCCAGAAAATACCCTTTGAAAGTCAGGAAGTGTTTTACAGATTGACCCTGAGCTGTATCTCTCTCCTTGATCCAGGCCCTGCCCTCTCTTGTCATTTAGTTTAACAGGGGCAAACAATGGCCAAGTGGATTGCCACGGACAGGTCTACAGGGACAAGTCTTGATCAGTCCCCTCTACCAGTACCCCCTCCTCTTACCAAGCACTTCCCCACTCCCCTTACTTTCTCCTGTTTCTGTCCTAACAGACAAAAGGGGCAGTTAAACCAAGACTTGAGATAAATCCAGTGGGACGAGTTAGTGGCCTAGATTCAGATCTAATTACAATTTAGTGGAATACTGCTCTGTGCAAGATTTTGCACTACACCCTCAGAGCCCCTTGGAGAGGGCAGGTGCTGGAGAGAGTGCTGGTGTGACAACGGGGACTAGGGTGGAAAGGTGCCGGCCAGGAGTCTCATGATGCTCATCCCCCACCTCCACTCCCTGCAGAAAGGACCCTTGGACCTGATCGAAACAGGCAAAGGGCTGAAAGTGCAAACGGATAAACCCCATCTGGTGAGCCTGGGCAGTGGGCGGCTCAGCACGGCCATCACTCTTCTGCCGCTGGAGGAAGGTGAGTCTGGGGGGCATCTGACCTGCCACCCCTCCATCCCCATAGATATTCCTGCCCTGGGATCCTGGCATGTGCTGGGCCCCTCTTTTTTTTTTTTTTTTTTTTTTTTTTTTTGGGCCCCTCTTGATACCTGCTGGCAGTGTTCACCTCCCCCAAATGGGAGGCCGTGACACCTACCCCACCAGTTTGCTTCCCTTGTCTCTGCCTGCCCAGACTAATCTGGCTCCATGACTGGGTTTAAAGATCAGCTTAGAAATCAGGAGGAGAGCACTGAAACAGGAGAGCACATGGCTCTTGGCAACCACTGTGGCCAAGAAGAAAGGGGGCCCCCTCCCGGGCAATGCCTGGCATGGGAGAAGGTGCTGGTGGAGATGGAGAGATGGCAGTGGGGGCAGACCCCCTAACTGGGCCCTGGCACAGCCCCTTCCACCTTGCAGCTTCTGCCCTTCCTCTCTACTCTCGGGGTTGCACTTGTTGCCTGGGTGATACTACATTCCCCACATTCTCCAAATACCGGTCCCAGGGGCTCTGCCAGGGGTAGGGGCTGTGCCTGCGGAAGCCCGGGGAGAGTTGAACTGAAGAGAGGGGAGTGAGGGAGGGCAAGGGTTGCAGGTGGCAGAAGGGAGGGAGAGAAGGAGGCAGAGAGAGTTTGAGGAAAAGATGGGGGAGAATGGGGAAGGAGAAAAAGGTCTTAGGCGGGGAGCACTGCGGGGACAAAGGGAAGGTCTGCAGAGAAGTCCCCCTTCCCTACTCTTATCTGTGGATCCTCTGTGCCCTTCGGGCCTTCATCTCTGGGTCTGAGAAGAGCTTCTACCTCTTACTGTCTCAACCAGGCTCAGGGGCCCCAAAGGGGTGGCCCGTGATTCTCCCTGGAGTGGGAGGTGCCAGTAGATTACCAGTGTGGCCCTCCTTGCCCCTTTCTGCCAGCTCAGCCTGGACTACCCCTCTGACTCAGTTTGCCTCCTGTCTTCAGGGAGGACAGTGATTGGCTCTGCAGCCAGGGACATCTCACTGCAGGGTCTAGGCCTGGCTCCAGAGCACTGCTACATCGAGAACCTGCGGGGCACCCTCACCCTCTACCCCTGCGGCAATGCCTGCAGTATTGATGGGCTCCTGGTCCGGCAGCCCACCCGACTCACGCAGGGTAAGTTCTGAGAGCCCCAAACCTAGGGAGCTGTTTAAAAGCTTGTGCATGACAGGTGCAGGGGAAGCCTGCTGTGTTGGTTGCCATGGTAACCGCCTGAGTGGCCAAGTTGGGGGTGGGGTGCTCAAGTGCATCTGGATCGGGTGCATTTCGAAACCCCTCCAGCATCCAGACTTGTCTTCAACCTGCTTTTCTCTGGTCACCCCCACCCTGCCACCGTGGGGAGAGAAGAGGGCCTGCTTCCTGCTCTCAGAGGGCATGGGGAGTGGTGCAGTGGTCGCTCATTGTCCTTAGGGGAGAGCAGCTGGAGCAGCAGCGAGGGGAAAGTGGCACATGGCTCCATGATGCCAAGAGGGAGTTGTTCTGAAAGTCTGTTGAAGCTGGGGAGCTGTTGAGGACAATGGCGATGGGACCAGGGCAAAATCTGGTGGCAAGATCTGAGGACACGCTCACTCCTGTTAAAACACTGTTGACAGTAGCTTTTGGGTCATGAATATGGTTACCACCCTGTTTCCCAAAGCAACAGGCCATTCCGTTGTGTAAGGGAGCTCTAAAAACTGGACCTCCGGTTACTATGGTGACCAGGCAGGTAAGGGGTTGGCCAGGTAGCACTCTGATAAGCCAGGTGTGTTTGCCCTGGACATCAATGTATACAGTGACGCACCATATTAGGGGGATGACAAAAGTGGATTTGGGTGGGGGGTAGAGGATGGAGCTTTGGACTAAGCCTGGCTCTAAGTAGGAGGACCCATGTCCTGGCAGTGTTTTCTCGGGACTCTTACCTCTTACTGGCTGGAAGCTCCTTTGCAGTGGAAATCCCACCCACTCCACTGTTTCCCTCTCTCCTTCTCTTCACACCTCTTGGGGGCTCTCCCTTCAGGGCTGACCCAGGAGACCCAACCTTCCTGCCTTTGGGAGTGTCGGGGGGACAACTGACTCCAGGGAGACAGGTCTGCCAGGAGCAGCAGCAAGCAAGCCCTCATCTCCTCCAGGGCTTCTCTGACTTCAGATAAGACGAGGCACCCCCATAAATTGAGGCTTTGGCTGTGATGCCATCTGGCTCCTCACCGTACTCTTCCATCTCAAAGACAGCATCTTCCCCAAGATTTGGGTACGTGGAAGTGAGAGAGTAGAACAGCAAGGAGAGGCAGAGGCAGAGTTCAGGAAAGGCTGGAGAAAGAGCCCAGCCCCAAATCCCTCACGTTCATGAGCAAGAATTTTCTTCCCCTGTGCCTTGTGAGCAGGGTGGAGGAACCGATGCTCTGTAGGCCTCTCTTGCCTCGTCTTCCCAGGGCAGCATTTAGCTCCCTGAGAAGAGGGAGGGCCTGGGCCAAGATGGCATTCTTAGGCATTTCCTGTGGCCCAAGTGACCCCCAACTCTTGCCCAGCCAAAAGCCCACCCTGCCAACTATGTACCCTCCCACTCTCTCCTGACCCTAAACCCCCTTCCCTTTCGTTCCCTTCCACCCCCATAGCTGCCTTGTCTAGGCTCGCCTGTCTCAGAAGCTTGGCAGCCTGGGGAGGGGTAGGCAGAGGCACAAAGGAACGGGTGTTCTTCTCCCCAGCACTACCCCTCCCCTGGGCTCCAGGAGCTGAGGGTTTCCTTGTCTCATCTCTGGAGCAAGGCACCAAGCCCAGCCCTGCCTGGCCCCACTCCGGACATTCTTGGGAGTGCGTTTCCCTGGAAACTGGGTGGCTCGGGGGTGCATGTGCTATCTCTATGTGTCTGTGTAACTGGACTGTGTTTATGTATCTCCGGATGTGTTTGTGTCTCTGGGCTTGTGTATCTTTGTGTTTGTGTCTTTCCTTGTGTTTATGGATCAGAGTGTTCAAGTTGGGGGCAGGGGTGAACTCAGGGCTGACGGTAACGAAGTGTCCGTGTGTGGGCCGGTGAGGATATGAGAACTCACTGGCCACATGCCTATCTGTGGGCATATATGCAAGAGGATCATTTTCCCTGTCTTGTTTCCCCGATCCAGCCTTGTAGGGGGGATTCCCCCTCTTTGAAAAACAGAGGGCTACCTTAGAAATAACAAGGAGCCCTCTCTGGCTGGGCTGGGCTTTGGATGCATCATTCTGGGCACTGGGCCCAGCCATAGGCAATGAGAGGCACACACGTCATCACGAGCAGGGTGGCAGTGACAGGCTCTTCCCGCAGGAATACGCCTG